GAACATGATGAGTCTACAAAAAGCTAACACAGCACTAAGCAGCAGTTTAGCTGAAGGCAATTTCAATTGGTAATGTTTACTATGTGCTGGTTTCAGCAGTTTTGAAGCAGTGCTGCTCTGATGCTCAGTTCCTGTGCACTCTTGTCTGGGGTTGGATCAGCCTGCAACTGAGGATTGTTCTTCATGATAGTGTGTCTTGCTGATATGAACATTTTCTTTATTTCAGAAGAAATATTTTATATATACAATTAGAAAAAAAAAAACCCTTTCAATGTGATCGTGCAGATTAGCAGTGCTGGTTTCAAAGTGGTGTGTTCAGCCCCTGTGCTGACACGTGGTTATACCTATGTCAGGTATGCATATGCAGATTTCTGATTTCTGTCACTGCTACCACATGGAATTGTTTTATAAAGTAGGAGTATTACTCTAGAAGCAACAAGCTAGATCTGTGAGTGCTGGCACCAGCTGAATGTTTTTCTCACATGGGGTAGTGAAGAGTCTTTCCCCATGGGAGAGCTGATACCTCAGCCTTCTCCTCAGCTGGTTGTTCCTGGAATGGCCCAGTCTTTGAGATGCCTGTGTTTTTTGGTTGATATTGTACAGTAATAAGCATGGAAATCTTATTTCCTCAGAAAACCAATTGGAATTGTATAATTCAGACTTCATATTACTAGTGTTTTTGGTGGAGTACCTGACAAGTTTTAAGCCTGTTTAAAAACAGAAAGTGCCATTTGGTCCTTTTCCAGAAACATGTTTAGGAGGGATGCTAATCTAAAATAGCTACTTAGTGTAAAATACAAAGCTCCCCATACTTAGGGTGAAATCTGGAAACTGGATTTGAAGGAATCAGATTTTTATCCTGAGGCTCTCACCTATATCATCCACCCATTTCACGAGGCTCTGTGGAATCTTGAACTTGGCAGGCAACTATTTATGTATCATGGTGATGACAAGGGCATAATATAGAACTTCCCTCTGCTAATCCTGGCCCTTCTACTCCATTGTTGCTTGAGACTGGACACATAACTATGAAAAAAGATCTCATTTTCTCCATCTGGGAGCTGCAGATAATATTGTTTACCTAAAGCAGAGGGATATTGTGAGCATTCCTTGTTATAATAGTCCATTTCTAAAACTCATTTTAAAAAACAGATTGTTAAAAACATTTTAAAAGTACTGTTCTGTAAAAGTTTAGTGGTGAGTGTTTCCATATTCAGCTTCTATTGTTAGAACACCAGTATTTGTTTTATTTTATTGCATTTTAGCTGGTTAATAAGATATCTTAATTTAAAGTTGCCTCTCTCTAATGACCTTTCCTGGATGCTAAATTTTAGATTGCATTTACATATGAGACACTGCTATTTTGTTAAGTAGGAGACATATTATGAGGATAATCAGTTTATCTTAAGCTGTAATTCTATGTCTAGCAAGGATTCAAATTTCTAGGATGGAGGGTGGCTAATGGCTTAGTGAAGTCTGGTAAAACATCTTTGAGATAAATCCCAGCATAATGAGATCAGTTAGATCTAGCTGTAAAATGGAAGAGAAGCTTAATTTTAATTTTCAATTGCACAGTTTGGTGCTTTGCTTTTTTTCTTTTACAGCTTGACAGAGCTCTATCTGAAATTTAAAAAATGCTGGAACTGGATGGATCTTTTGAATATGCATAATCTAAACAGGAGAAACTAAACTAAAAAAAGAGAAGTAGCTATTTTCATATAAGGTTAGATTTTCTATTCCATGGAAACTAATTTGACTTGAATGTAAATTCTCTGGTGAAAGGATGTGCCTGCTTTACAGCTACAAGATTATTCTTACCCAAGGTTATGTGGATACTAAAATAGATATCTAAATTATAAAATATATATATATATATATATAAATTATATATATAATACAGACAGCAAGATAACACTAACAGTAATTATTTCAATCACAGAGATATACAGTTCCATACATGATCAAGGGGTCATTGTCAAATTAGGCAGCATCTGATTTCTTGCCATTTAGGTTGGTCTCTTAACTAACATGCTAACAACAGTTTCACTTTTATTTTTAGATGTATGCAGTATATCACGCTTTTTGGTTTCACTGTTCATATGCAATTACAGTGATTGTGACAGAAACTGGGCAAGCCTGGCTGCAGGATTAAAGCTGCTGCTCAAGCACAGAGCTTGTGAGCTGGCAGTGCAGATGTTCTAGGGCAGTTGGTACAATTTCATTCTGAACTGCCAAGGGTATGAGACATTGCCCTCCTCCCCCCCCCCAGATACCCCAGAAAAGCTATATATTTAAAATACAGTGGCATTTTCTGAAATTGGTCCATGTTTTGGAGTCTGAGAAGGTAAATCACAATGAAGAGCCTTCTCACACTTCAGTATCTGAGCCAGCTCAGGAGCCACTAATGACCCTCAGTGTTCTTTGAGAGTCGCAGTAGTTTTGTCACCTAAAACCTGCATGTAACTGATAATATTCCAGAGCAAGGGGAGCATCACTTCTGACAGCTCTTGTGAATCAGCTCTGAGTAATAGGACCTTGGCAGTTGCAGGAGACAGCTCACACTGAGCAGAAGCATCCTCAGTTCTCACCATTTTCAACACTCAGTGTGGAACCAGAGCCCCGGGCAGGAGATGGAGCGCCTGAGGGCACTCATCAACACAGCACTGAGCTCCTTCAGAAACTGGCTGTATTGTTAAAAAGCCCAGGGGCACAGAAGGCAGGTGCTGAAGGACCTGGGGAAAAGCCAATACTACATCTGGGGCCTAAGAATCTCTTCCTTCTGATGGATTGCCAAGAGCCCAGCTTCCTCTCTCTTTTTGGAGCAGAGCAAGATGGGGAAGATTTGTAGTACCTGTACTGAGGCAGAGGGTGTCAGAAGTACTGTGCTATGGTTTGAGGCAGATGGAAGTTCAGGTTTAGGAAAATAGTACCTAGAAACAGAGTCTCTACCCAGCATATGCAGTACAAATTTCTTTCTTTATGTAGTATTTGTTTCTTCCTATTGTGCTACTTAACACATTGCAGGACAAATAACAGAATTTCACCCTGGTTTTCCTTATTTGAGATAATACTTGATTAGGTAAACCAAAAGCTCCTAATTCTAGGAAAAAAAAAACAAAACCAAAACCCCAAAACCACCACCCCCACACACACACACTCAATCCACACAAAAAAACCCCACCTACAAAGCCAAACCAAAACAAACCAAAAAAACCTGAAACCAAAACCAAAAAAAATCCCCCACCCTAAAAGTAAAAATTTTAAACAGGAAGTCAATCAAAACCGAGAGCAGTGCTTCCTGCATGTCTGTACCTATTTATCTACATCCGCACACTCCAAACGTGCTCAGGAACAGTCTTTGTCACCAAAATGAAGTTGCCTGTAATGGCATATTGCCAGAACTTTTCCCAGGCCAAATTTGGCTCTTGTCAAGTACCATTCCCACAAGCCCTTCCCAGCCGCTGGCAGCTGGGAGGGACCATTCCCAGCAGTTTGCACAGTCCTGTGTCAAGAGCTGAGGGAGTTCCCTGCCAGCTGGGCGCTGCAGAGTGCTGAATTCACTGGTGTGGGTGCAGCCTTCCTATTCATAACAAGTCTTCCTGCTACTCCGCGCTCACTTCTTAGAACAAGACTTCAGGTTGTAGTTTCAGCCTTGGGATTTCCCCAGCCAGGGCGGGCCTGTCCCACAGGAAGTGCAGCGCCCTCAGCCAGCGCTGCCCAAAGGGCCCGGTGCAGCTGAAGGAGCCTCATGGGGCAGTGATGTGCTCATGGCAGCTCAGAGCAGCTGAGAGGCAGCGCTTTGGCCATAAAGGGTTATGGGGAGGGAAATTGCTTTCCTGAACTGCACTGCTGTGGAGCAGAGTTAGGAGAGCGGGACCATTAAGTGCTGAGGAAAGGGACCTGGGGGTCCTGGTTGATGGCAAGTTGAATATGAGCCAGCAGTGCCCTGGCAGCCAGGAGGGCCAACCTTGTCCGGGGGGGGCATCAGGCAAAGCATCGTCAGCCGGGTGAGGGAGAGGATTGTCCCGCTCTGCTCGGCACTGGGGCAGCCTCACCTTGAATATTGTGGCAGTTTTGGGCACTACAATATAAGGAAGATATTAAGCTCTTAGAGAGTGTCCAGAGGAGGGCAACGAAGATGGTGAAGGGCCTTGAGGGGAAGCCGTATGAGGAGCAGCAGCAGCTGAGGGCACTTGGTCTGTTCAGCCTGGAGGAGAGGAGACTGAGGAGAGACCTCATTGCAGTTACAACTTCCTTGTGAGGGGAAGTGGTGGGGCAGACACTGATCTCTTCTCTGTGGCGACCAGTGACGGGACGTGAGGGAATGGCCTGAAGTTGTGTCAGAGGAGGTTTAGGTTGGATATTAGAAAGAGGTTCTTCACCCAGAGGGTGGTTGGGCACTGGAACAGGCTCCCCAAGAAATGGTCAGAGCACCAAGCCTGACAGAGTTCAAGAAGTGTTTGGATGACACTCTCAGGCACATGGTGTGACTCTTGGGGATGGTCCTGTGCAGGACCAGGAGTTGGACTGAAATGTTCCTTGTGGGTTCCTTCCAACTCAGCATATTCTGTGATCCCGTGAAAACCAAACCCCAAGCTCGCTAGAGCTCAAGGAGCGGCTGGACAACGCTCTCAGGCAGAGGGTGGGATTGAGCTGTGCAGGGCCAGGATCTGGACTCAATGGTCCTCGCAGGTCCCTCCGAACTCGGGACATTCTCCGATCCCCTCACAATTCCCTGCAATAGGGAGCTCTCGCTGCGCCCCCCGGCGGGGGCGGGCAGAACTGCCCCGCGCCTGCGCGCCCCCGCCCGCACAGCCCCGCCCGCTGCCCGCCAAGATGGCCACGTCTGCGGTGCGCTGTGCGGTCCGGCGGCTCCTGCTGCCCTGGTCCGCCCGCCTGGGGCGAGCGCCTGGCGCGGCGGAGCGGGTGAGGCGGCGGGACGGGGAGCGCAGGGAGGCGCGGGGAGCGCGGGCGCCGCGGCGGCTTCGTGCGCTGGTGCTCGGGGGGACGCTGAGATGGTCAGAGGGCTGGAGGCCGGGGGCGCGGTGCACGCTGGGGTTTGTAGTCGCGGCGGGACCGCGGTGCAGGGCGGGAGTTGTGGTCTCGCCCGGCCAAGCGGGGGGCGCGGCCCCTCCTCACAGATCCCAGCGGGACGAGCCCGGCGGCCGCATCCACAGGGTTTGCTGCTGGTACCCATGCCCGTGCCCGCCCCAGGGGGCTCAGGGGAACGTTTAAACCCTCATTCCCTCCCGTGGTTCGGGGAGGCCCCGGTCCTAGAGCTCTTCCCCTTCTGTCACTTCCCCCGTCCTCCCAGTTTGAAGCCTAAGCTTTTCCGTCTGTAAACAGGAGGGGGAGGTCTTTTCAACAGAGTTTTTTCTTTCCCTGTAATGCAGACGGGCAGTGAGAGTCCCTTGCATCAGCCCAGGCTGGGAGCTGAGTGCTCGGGGAGCAGCTCTGGGAGAGGCTGTTGGAGTGTCCAGCAGCAGGGCAGGATGGCACAAACGGAGCAGCCGATAGATCAGAGGGAGTGATTAGTTTGCACTTGTCAGGAGGTTTCTGTGTGACAGCTGGTTTGGGGCTCCTTAGTGTGAGGAGGACGTCACTGGACTGGAGTGTGTTCAGCAGAGATGAGCTGGGCTGGAACACATGCCCTGTGAGGAGGGGCTGAGGGTCTGGGACTTGTTCATCCTGCAGAAGACACGGCTTCAGCTGGACCTGTGGGAGGAGCTGTGAGAAGGACCTGTGCCAGTACCCATGAGAAGGTTGTCAGGAAGACAAAACCAGGCTTGTCACAGCGGGGCATTGTGGCAGAATGAGAGCCAATGGGCATAAGTTGAAACAAGAGAGGAAGAATTGGTATGTGAAAGCTTTTTTCCCTGTGAGGCAGTCAAGCAGTGGAGCAGGCTGTGTACAGAGACAGAGCTGTGCAGTTTCTCACCATCCTGGGAGATTTTCAATACCCAGATGCAAAGAGCCCTGAGCAAAATGGTCTTGACCCCATAGCTGATTGTGATTGGAGCAGGAAGGAAGTTAGACTAGGAACTTTCAGAGGTCCCTTCAAACTTAAATTGTGCTATGATTCTGAAATATATGAGTTTTGAGAGATCTCGCTATTGGTATTCAGGGGGAGAGTGGGTGGGGGCTGGATTTTGTACTGCCATGTTTAAGGCAGTTACATGGGGAAAGAAATCTTTGTTTATTTGATACATTTAAAATAATAGTCTTTGAAATAACTGATTCCTTGAAGTTTGCATTTGGGATACAGATTTGTATTTCTTGACGTTGAAAAAGTGCAATAAACCTTTTTAACCTACATCCTCCCTTCTTTTCTGCCCCACTCTGATTTAATGTGCTTTAACTGCCAGGTGATTGTTTCAGAGGTGACAGTTTCACAGTCTCTGACCAATGAGTGACTGATTTGCAGTCCTGGACATAGGCACTTGGGCTGTATCTCACTTCACTTTAGAAAGCAGGTGCCCAGAGGAATTCCAGATGGTAAAGGATATATTCAAGGTCCTGCTGGCTCTTGCTGGCAGAGCTGGGAAACAAGTGTGGCTGTCTGATGTTAGTAACATGCTTCTGTGTCAGATTGGAGGGCGGCAGATGTATCTCCTCAGTTTTAGTAATCTTTGGGGGTTTTTTTGGATTCAGGTTACTGCATCTCAGATGTGAAGTAGTGGTGAATAGTAGTGCTGAATTTTCTTTCCTTTAAATGCATTCCTTAGAAAAGATCCACGAACATAATGTTTAAGTTCAGGAATACGTTGTTCAGAGGAGTGTCTTTGGATATAAGTTTAATGACTGATTTTTCTTACAGTGTGTGCATGTTGGAACAGGCAGGCTCAGGGCTTCCAAAGCAGCCACAGAAGTAATCTTAAATGTTCCTGAAACTAGGGTGAGTCCATTGGAAAATGGCTTGCAAGTAGCTTCTGAAGACTCTGGACTCTCAACATGCACAGTAAGTAACTTGTAAAGGGAAGGTTTTTTTTGTACTCTTCATGTGTGTTCATTTCCTTGTGGAACTAAATTGCATTTACATGCAATGTTCCTAAAACTTAAGATAGGAAATAGAGGTCTTAAGGCTTTTGTAGATTTGTGATTAGATTTTTTTGTGAAGATGGAAATTTTCCTTTTCTTGAAAACCTGATGTGTTTAAGGAAAAAGCCCTTTAAAAATAAATCTTGAAAATCTAAGTGTGGCTCACAGAGCAAAACAGAAAAGCTTTTAGGTGGTAAAATGACTTTTTTTTTTCTCTGTTGAGGTTGGACTTTGGATTGATGCTGGAAGCAGGTATGAAAATGAGAAGAACAATGGGACTGCTCACTTCCTTGAGCATATGGCTTTCAAGGTGAGTATGAATATTGATGTAGAAGTTTACAATGAATTTCTAAGTGTGCTGGTTTAAAGGTAAACCGGCAGGAGAAATGAACCCAACTCAAAAGAGATTATAAGTCAGAGTTACAATGTAATGAAAAATAATACAATAATACAATTATATGGACAAACAATTGGTTTTAACCCACAAAACCCAGATGTATAACCCAGCACCCTGGGGCATGAACAGAGTGGTGTTCGTGCTAAGCCCCACGTGGTTCCCCCTGAGTCCAAAGTAAAAGGGGAGGAAAACCTGCTGGTGAGAGTGCTGGTCACAGTCCGGTCGAGAGTGGTGGTTGCAGTCCCGTCGAGGTTCTGGTCCTCCTCTGGATCCAACGAGTGGGCCCAGAAGTCCCAAGATTATATACCCCAAGATTATATACACTCGGGTTCAAGTGGGAATGCCCAGTACCTCCCCCAGGGCGGGGAGTTCCACAATGGGTGATTGTGAGTCGTGGGATAGTTTTCGAATCCTTGGTGGCCCGTTAGCAGACACGACCCCTCAGGCTGGGTGTGGAGGTGCTAGTGACTCCCTGGAGGGGAGTTATCACACCTGAGTCATTGGTGTGAGGTTAGGAACATCCTCCTATCTCACAGGCTTATAACCTGAGGGGTCAGGTGTGCTCTGGGCAGTTGCTGTAAATGGTCTATTGTTAACAGTTCCTGGGAAATGACATAGAGGGTGTAGAATACACAGTTTGGGTTACACCCACCCAGTGATGAACTGGTCCCAGCTGCTCTAACTAGGACACTAAGTTATTTATCTTTAAAGATCAATGATAAGAACTTTGCCAGAATTCTATAAATAAATTTTCCAAATTGAAATGAGAAAAAAAATATGGACAACTAAAACCTTTGTTTCCATTAGAAAATGAAGTCCTATTTCTGTGTAGCTGATGCACAGCTACAGATTACACAGTTCTAGTTTTAACTCACTTTTACTGTCTTAAAATAAATAGTCTTAGAAGACACACAGTCACCCTTTTGTCAGCTATTTATTTTCATTTGGGAGCGTAGTAATATTTATATCTGACTTTCAAGCTTGGAGATATTAGTATGCCAGTTTTATTTCCAGAAGACTTTTTCTTTCTCTTGATCTTGACTTTTTCAGACATGAAGCAATAATGATGGGTAGGTGAATTGAAGGGTCTAATTTGATTTTCTTATTGTTCTATTTCAGGGAACAAAAAAGAGGTCTCAGTTAGACCTTGAGCTAGAGATTGAGAACATGGGAGCTCATCTGAATGCATATACTTCCAGGGAACAAACTGTGTATTATGCCAAGGCTTTTTCAAAAGACTTACCAAGAGGTAATTGCTCTCATTCATCAGAAAAGCAGCAAAGAGCAAGGTGCTTGTTGAGCTTCCAATGAGATGACACAGAATGATGTTTTGCAGTGTTACAGTCCCTTCCATCCTGGGTGAAAAGTCCTTTCTTGAACTTCACATGAATGTGAGAATGCAGGTTTGGAAAGCAGCCAGCAGTGAAGCTGATATTCGAAAACATTTTTCTCTTCAGAGTCTCAAAATAAGATACCTTTTGGACTTCTCCCTTCCTACAAGTCTTTTGTCCCCTTGCAAGTCTTGTTAGCACTTGGCCTCTGGGGTGGGCTTCACTTTTGGAACCAGATTTTTCTGGTAGTCTGAAAATACTCTTTCCATTTCCATCTCCATCTCTATTTTCACTTAGCTGTGGAAATCCTTGCTGACATAATTCAGAACAGCACCCTGGGAGAAGCAGAGATTGAGCGTGAGCGAGGAGTTATCCTTCGGGAGATGCAAGAAGTTGAAACCAATTTGCAGGAAGTTGTCTTTGATTACCTTCACGCCACAGCCTATCAGAAAACAGCCCTAGGACGGACAATTTTAGGACCCACTGAAAACATCAAGTATGTCCAAATTTGTGTCTGTCTTTAATTGTGTGATAACTTTTATATATTGAAAAGACTAATCTGAAAATGTAGGGAACAGCATCGGTTTTCATTTTTACAGCTGAAATTGTTCTGTGCACTGGATATAATAGTAAGAAGAATCTCCCTATTGCCTTAGTTCCCCTGTATGCAGGCATCAAAGGGTATGTGAACTACAGGTGTCCTCTGCATGTCTTTGTTTTTTGCCATATTTTTCTCCTGTTTGTTAAAAGTGCATCTGACACAAAATTGGAAATGCTCCTTTTTCCAGTTGGTCATATGTTAGACAGTACTGTCAGCACAACTCTGTTTGCACTGCTCTTTCAGCGTTTGTTTAGACCAGTGAAGACCAGGAGACTGCCAAATGTGCTGCTTTCAAAGGAACAGGAGATCATTAGTGCACCTTGTCTCCACCTGACTGAGTTGTAATTCTCACTCTTCTCAGGAAGCTAGAAGAGCTTTAAAAGGCAAAATGTATCGAGTTCCTATTTCCTTTTTAGGAAGTCACCCTTATTTCAGCTTTCTGCCTCTGTTCTGTGCACTGGCAGAACTTATTAATTATTATGGTATTTTTGCTCTAGTCAGCTTTACTGACACAGTAATGATGTCTCCATTCCTGTTTCTAGATCCATAAATCGTAATGACTTGGTGGAGTATATAACAACACATTACAAAGGACCCAGAATGGTCCTGGCTGCTGCTGGAGGTTAGTATGGGATATTCACCCTGGATCATGTGAAACTGCGCTTGAAACCATGGCCTGAGTCTCTGGGAACAACATGATGAATTACCCTTGTTCAGTAGGTCCTGGAAGTTCACTGTTAGCCCTGTGTGTTTTGTGCCTTCATACCATTTGAACTTTTGTTTCCTTTTCCTCTCAGTAATATTCCAGAAACCTTAAATTGGTGACAAGAAGTGAATTAGAGGCCAAAGTCATTCTTCCATGTGGGCAGGAAAGGAGGGTCCTAAAAGGGGTTCAGTGTGAAAAGGGGTGTGGCAAGGAATGCAGAGACAAAGTAATAACTTTAAGGCTTGAAACTGAGAGCAAACAGCTTGATTTGGTGTGATTTTAATGGAAGGCTGTTAGAGAGAACTCAGGAGTGGGAATCATGATCTCGCTCTGTGTAATGGAGAGGTGTGAGGAATGCAAAAGTGAAGTATTAAAGCAGGGGCACAATGAATTACTTGCTTTAGTCTGTGCAGCAATTTAAATGAATTGTTTACAGAGTAACATCATGAAGCATGTGAAATACGTTTTTTCAGGGGTCTGTCATGATGAACTGCTTGACCTAGCAAAGTGCCATTTTGGTAACTTGCCATCTGCTCCAGAAGGAGGACTGCCACCCCTGCCACCTTGTAGCTTCACAGGTAGTGAGGTAAGCTGTTGGGTGGCCTTGTCAGCTGGCCCTTGCATCCCCTGACAACTGCTCTCTGCTGAAGAGAGAGGGCTGCTCTGACACAGACTTGACACATGAAAGGGTTTCTTGCCCCCAGTGAGGGCGATGGGAGTAGCTGCTTTCCAAAGTGGTACTTTGGGTCCTTTCTTGGACAAGCCTCACTGCCACCACTTTTTATGCTTCATCACGTCCTGGACGATTACATCCTTTATACTTGCTGCTACTTTCCTTTTGTCCCCTTGACTGTGGTGGTGGAGCATTTCCACTTGTTGAGAACCACTTAATTAAAGGATGTGGCAGAGAACTGTGGCATCCTTGTTCTGTTCCCATCTCTATTCAGATTTTGCAAAGTCATCAGATTTCCTCGCTGCTGGTAGTTGTAAAATTACTTGCAATGCCCTCTCTGTGTATGTTGGCAAAGTCCTCTGAAACTGCCTCAGGGAAGACTAGTTAAGACTGATGTTAAATTAAGCTTCACGTGCTTTAATTTTAGTTCTCTGTGTGCACGCTTTATAATCCAGCTCTAATGGAAAACTCTGTTGTCTGATATTCAGTTTCCCATATACCCGACTGTGTACAGGTTGTACTACAGCTGCTCTCTTCTGTTACACAGATTCGAATCCGGGATGACAAGATGCCCCTGGCCCACCTGGCCATAGCTGTGGAAGCAGCTGGCTGGTCAGACCCGGATACAATCCCACTCATGGTAGCCAATACTCTGATAGGTAACTGGGATCGTTCCTTTGGAGGAGGCGTGGTGAGTGAACCTGCAAACACCGTCCTGCTCTGAATGACCTTGGTGGGCTGGTGAGATCTCCCTGACTTGGGTACTGCCAGGACAGATGAGGGGGTTCAGTTGTGCATCTGAGAGAATTTGTTACCCAGGATAAGTGAAGTGGTTCTAAACCACCAAAATAGAGGTGACTCGAGGTCTTGCCAGCCTTCATCGAAAGTAGGATGTTTTATACCTGTATGTCATCAGAACCCATGGATGTCAGTAACTGTCCCTTTCTTGAACCTAAGCAGCTTTATGATTTTGGCTTAAATCTGGGCTGTTACTTCAAAATGTGAGATTATGTACAAGGAAAGCAACTGTTGTGCTGAAGAGCTGATAATTAACCTCACAGCTTCTGCTGGAGCCTGTGATAGTACTGCATGTTCTGTCACCATTAAATGAAAGCAGGAAATCAATCAGGGAGATGAATAGGAAGCTTCCAAAATGCTTTATAAAACAGTATCTTCTTCTTTTGCCTCAGCAGAATTTATCCAGTAAGCTTGCTCAGATTGCCTGCCACGGTAACCTGTGTCACAGTTTCCAGTCCTTCAACACCTGCTATACTGACACAGGGCTGTGGGGACTCTATATGGTCTGTGAGCCATCTACTATTCAGGACATGGTGCACTTTGTTCAGAGAGAATGGTAAGCTAACAACTCTCTCTCTAAAAAGGTTGTTTTCTGTGGTGGAATACAAATTAAAAAGATATAAATAATTTAAAGAGAGTATTTTTGCTTCTCTGCTTAGGCTTATCTGGAAAAAACCAAATGCATCAAATTCTAAACTTTGGCATCTAATGCAGAGTCCCAGCAGCCAGTTTGTGGCACCCTTACTTGGAGTGAATAGCTTAACTACAGGCACTGTAGTTAATATAACAGCATTCCTTGTACAAGTACATATGGCAGGGAATTTTTGGCTGTTACATATGGAATTTTGAAACCTGGAATTCTAGATAATATTCATTCATCTGAGGCTTAAATCTATATTGAGGTATGTCTCTAGGTGCAACTGTAAAGCTTGAACTGCAGATGTGATTAGAAACACACAAAAATTATGTAAGAGCACTGATTTAAAGTGGATGAAGTTGAAACAGAAGTTGAAAGAGATCTTGAAAATACAGTTTCTTTGATCGCATAAATCACTTCTCCTACATCATTATTCTGTGAGATCTATCTTAATAACTCAGGGAGAAAAAAGGCATGACTTTAGCTGTCCCTTTACTGCAGCTTAGCACCAGAGAAGTTACAAACAATTACTGGGACAAGAATCAAGTGTTAAGATATTTGATGCACCCCCCCATCCTCATGAAATGTTCCTTATACAGAGTGGGAAATCTCACCAAGAGAAGAGCCAGGAAGTGATGGATTGCCTTCTAGCTAATTACTTCTGATTGCTTGGCTCCTATTTTCCTAGCAACACCCATTCTCAACATAACAAGTACACATGGCTCAAAATATACATTTAATAAAACAAAATGCAGCTCTTCTAAGGGGAAAAACTTGCTTTTGGGTACATTGGCAAGCTTCCCAAAACCCTACTCTTATGCTGCTGCTTTCCATCCTATGCCTTGTTTCCATGCCAAACTCTCCTACCAGCTCTCTCTATAGAAAAGAAGTGCCTGGTAGGTGCAGGAGTGTCTGTGCACCTCTTCCTCGCAGGCAATCTTGTGTGCTACAGGCTACTATTATTTAATGCCTTTGGATTTAAACTGTCTTTCAGGATAAGACTTTGCACAAGTGTTACAGAAAATGAAGTAGCTCGAGCGAAAAATCTTCTAAAGACAAATATGCTGCTACAACTTGATGGTGAGACTTATGAGAGCTTTTTATTCTTTGTGGAGTTGTAGGCTGGTAACTGAAGCATATTTTCCCTTATTTTAGGGTCTACACCAATCTGTGAAGACATTGGAAGACAAATGCTGTGCTATAAGCGCCGAATCCCAATTCCAGAACTTGAGGCGAGAATTGATGTAAGTGGCAGTCACATTGAAACTTTTAAGTTAGGCAATTGAGAGAATTATTTGCTACAAAAAGTAAAAATGCCGAAGTTGGACTGTTCCTGGGTGAGAAAATGTTTCCAGCTGAGAAAACTCTGAAGTGTTTTGTTGCCTGTTCCCCTGGATTATACAAAATTAAGGTCACAGTTTTAGATGGGATGGTAACAAAGATGTCTCTTCCACTCCTTTTAGGCTATTGATGCCCAGACTATTAGAGAGATCTGCACAAAGTACATCTGTGATAAGCATCCTGCCGTTGCTGCTGTCGGTATGTGATACAAGTTTCCCTACCTTCCCATAACCCCTCCAGACCAATCACTATCAGTTGAACATGTGTCATGGCCAACTTTCTTTAACTTCCAGGTCCAATTGAACAACTCCCAGAGTATAGCAAAATCTGCAGTGGCATGTATTGGCGCCGTGAGTAGTGAATAACAAGAACTTTCAGTATATTTGAGCTTTTGGAAAAAAAAAAAAAAAGAAAGAGAAAACCAATAAAAAAACCCAAAACAAAACAAAAAACCTTCCACCAAGCAACTACACCCCTGTTTAAAGCTTTTGAGTTGTATTTGAGAAGATTAAATCTCAAGAACCAGCCACTCCTGTGTCTGTATACTGAAAAAAGGAATGGAAACATGTACAGTATTTGCATTTTTATTACAAAACAAAGATTGTCAGTAAGAGTCATTTCTTGACTTTAGTAGCATTCATCACTTGTTCTTGAGCAGCTTTCTTTGCCTTGACCATTTCAACGAGTTCCTGGAGAGTTGGGGGGAAAAAAACCACACCACACAATTAAATTAAACATGGAACGTGTTAACAATGCTAGGGTTTTGAACCCTACATATATTCACTGTGAAACACTCTCACTCTCAACATAGTGACAAATCTACATAGTTTAATACTGTGAAGCAATTTCTCTTAGGAACAAATCAGTTGATGGAAGGTCAATGCTCATCTACCTCCCCTGTAGTAGGAACTTTACCTGCAGGATAGGGATAGGACTTTACTGTCTACAAGAGCTTGGTGTCAAATTGTAAGACAGATTTCCTGAGACAGACTTTCCTTCCCAGATTCCAGAGCCACTACTTTCACCAAGGAACATTTAGTCCTTAAAGCTCTTCAGGGGTTGAGTTACCAAAAATAAAAAAAAGTTTCTCCATAAGGTTCCATCAGTTTGCTGCTGTCAGAGACTATCTCTGGTAGGCAGTGCAACAGTAAAAGCAAAGGATTCTATCAAGACCTGGGCTGATGACAGTCCCAGGAGAGGTGAGGTCCCTTACCTTGTATCGCTTCATGCAGTCTTTTTTTGACCGGCCTGGAACAGCTGCTGCTATTTTCTCCCATCTTTCGGGAGTATTTACTGGATAAGTCTTCAATGCTTGTTCTAAAAGTTTTTGTTCTTCTGTAGTCCAAGGGGATGAATCTAAAGGTGATCCTGTTTTTTAAATGCAAAAATGACAGTAAGAGAAATATTGTAAAATCTATTTAGTTGATTTAAAATCCATGCAGTTTTGAAAAGCCCAAAAAAACAACCAACCCTGAAGCTGACTGGACAAGTGACCCTCAGGATCTTTAGATAAAGCATGGGGAAGTTAGAAGGGAGCATCTTTTGTTGTCAGCTGAGTGTTAGATTGCTGTAGCTGCCCTCTTAAGGCACAGCACTAGGGCAGCAATGTAGGTTTTCCTTTTGCATTTCAGTAAGGAACACTCAGTAAGGAAACAGCCTTCTGTAAGTGTCTGGAAAACTTGATGGGAGGTGTTTGGGGTTTCACAGGAGACCAAAAGCTGTATGATGATCCTGTATCTCAAGTGCATCCCCTCAAGCTTGTTCTTCCCTGAAAGTGTAACACCCTCTGAGGAACAGATGATCTCAGCACCAGACTTGACCTGTTGCCTCACCAGGAAGCATTTCAGACTGTCACTGTGTAGGTCACTGTGGGGTGTATTGTGTGTACCAGAAACGCTGAAATCCAGCACCAGAACCTGGATCACTTTCTATGTTTGTAAGCAAGTCTTGAGTCTGGGTTACTTCCTTTCTAAGAGGCACAGGGGAGACAAGTCTGTAAGGGCTCCCTTTTCAGCTTTACCTTCAAATCGTTCCGAGGGGGCAGCACTGTCCATCTGAGGCACCACACCGTGTTCTTTTTTAAATTTGTCAAATGCTTTCTTGTTTATGTCATCTTTTTGATGAGGGTCTATGAGCAACAGACATTGAAGAGAAAAATTACTGCAACAGTTAAAGCCACATGTAATAATAAAAACATTGTGTAGCAGATTACTAGTTTACAATAATCACATAATTAAAACTATTCCTACTTCCTTTAAAACAATGGTAAAGAGGTTGGTAGATTAAAAAAACCAATCTTTTAGGGTCCAATAAACTTTGCTCAAAGTGTCAGGCTCTCCAACCCCTATCCTGCTTTATACTGCTCAGAGGAATACTTGTTCCATATAATCTTAAGCCTGAATCTGCAATTTCAGAGAAATCCAGAAGGATTATTCTCTCAAGTAATGGCTCCTGCACAAAACTCACGTATTATCCAGGGTACGAGCGTGTCAGAGGGGCAGGAACACTGGGGAAGTTCAGGCAGGTGGTTTGGAATGGAGAAGCCTCTTAAAAACTTTGTGCAATTTTTTTTTTCCTCCTGTAGTGAAATATGTAATTTCCTTAAGACCTTATTCCAGAGCTCTCTAGGCTTCATTTATCATTTTATTATTATTCATTTTCAAAGAAGAGATGAGCCACATTAATTTAGGTGTCTTACTCTGGTGTTTTTAAAGTATCTCTAAAGCTTAATCACTTCCTTTTATTTTAGATGCCTTCCTTTGTAGGGAGCTTTTCCAGAGGCCCACTTGTCTCTGGCTGAGCCCAGGCAATGCATGTGGCCCACAGACATCTGAGCATCCAGCTACAGTGAGACTCTTCCTGAGAGTCACTCATGAGGTGGTAACTTACACAAAAACCATTGGGCTGAAAACACTGAATCACATAAATGCTCCTCTAAATCTTCCATCTGAACTACACTTCTGTGGGGATATACAGAAGATTTTCTCAGAAACACAAAGCCATTTGAAAAAAAAATCCAGCTGTGCAGAAGCATGCAGAATATCTTATTGCAAAAATAAGGTAATATAGATACCAAGCTTTTGAAGGCTCTTGGCTTTATTGATGACATCTTTTGCTGTTCGTTTTATTCCAGTAGTAGAGTGCAAGTTCATGTAATTGGCAATAACTTCCCACCTAAATCAAGAACAGAAAGGGTAAACCAGCATATTACATAATTATCTTCATACAAGTGATGGTCAAGCTCCTGTACACATTTTATATCAAATCCTAAGTAAGTTTAATCATACTTAAATACATATAAAATGTCAGGGTAACTATTTCTGGAAAGTTACTAACTGAAGAATTCAGTCAGTTGAGTGAACTTTAGCTGCCAATACAGAAAAAGGATGGGGTAGAATGTAGGTGAGTGCAAACCTCTGATCTTCAAAATTCTGCTCAGATGTTGCTTTTCTGAATTCCCTGAACACCTCTGACATTAAATACTGCAGGGTGCACTCAAGGGCTGAGAAGTTACTAATCCTGTGTCCACTGCTCCCCAGAAGGCCTAAACATCAAGTAAAGGGGCTTAAGCAGGAAAGAGCTAGAACAGCCCTATAGCCCCAGAACTATTGCTAGTGCATTCTTAGAAAATGGAAAGCAATGTTTGCACCTGATCAGGCAGGAGGATGGGGTCTAGGCCTGTGCTCTCAGTGAGCACTGACTGCTGAGCTGCAGAAACAGGCACTGCTATTGTCTCCAGAGAGTATGGCAGCTTTTATTTATTTTTTTTAAAGTATACCTCTAAGCCTTGTAATTGGGGCCTCAAATCCCAAGTGGAAGAAGGCATTTCATTCCTGGGAAAGAGCAGAATTTAAGGCATACTCCTGTTCTTCATGCTTATCAGTAAGCTGATTGCCAGTGCTGCTTTCTGTAAATCCCAACCTTTCCCTTTCCCCCGGCTCTGCCCTAAGGAAAGCTGGGGCACTTATCTCTCTGCATGGTTTCCTCTGACCATGTAGAGGAGAAAGCAGCCTCATATTCATTGTGGAGCTACTGGAAGTAGCTTACACACTTGTATTCCTACCCAGCTGCATCCCAGTCACTGTTCCAGTTTTGTTCTCTACGTTAACAACTGGAGCCTACCCTGGAGTAAGCCCTGTGCAAACATGCACCTCAGCACCATCTTGGTAATGGACTGAGGCCCCAGTCTGGGGGAAATAATACAGGGCCAGAGCTAACTCCAGTGACACATAAAGCATGGTACTAAGGGAAAACAAACCACTGGCTGCTAAGAGTCAAGGAAAAGGAGGAAATTTAGGGAGTCCTCATACTGACACCATACTTAGGAGGGTCTGAAAGTAAGTGGTATTATGCTTGTTATTTAATTAAAAATTGTTAGTAGGGATTTTAGCACCAATCCCGAGGAGTACCTTGAGTTAGTCCCTGCTGGAAAGAGGTTCACAGCTTTAATTAACAACTGTAAGTCATCTTCTGGCCAATTTTTGCTTCCCCCTCCACCACCAGTGGTTGACTTTTCTGAACTCTTTGTTGCTTGGCGCATACGAGCTTCTGCCTCTTCTTTCTCTCGCCTTATTTGTTCATTTATTTCTTCTATCTAAGGATTGTAAATAAGCATTATTTATTTATTTATTGAATTTTTACATTTCACAGTGACACAACCCCCTCTCTCTGGAATCACTCTGAGCCTTGAATTCTGCTTAGTTTCTGTTCTGTACATGATACATAAGGAAATGGAGGTGCTTATCTGCTCCTGTATTATTTCCCTCCATCCCATGCATAAATTTGGCCATCTCAGATTAGGAGTTCAGAAATCCATCACAAGTTCCCTAGGAAATTACATGAAAACTCCTAGAATTAAAGCAAAACTTCAGATCCTAGTGTGAATGTCCAGGCTAACACCTGACTTAGAGGGACAGATCCACAAAAGTAATAAAAGCCTAAATTGACCAGTGAGGGCAGTGAAACATCCATGTTGAATACACTGATTCCCAAATCTTCCAACCGAACTGCTCTCTAAGCCTGGTTATGTCAGAAATTCTCAGTTACAACAGTTGTAGTAAGTTAGTAACTAAAATCTGGGTTGTTGCAGTTAATGCTAAGAGTTTACTCAGAGTTAGATGGCCAGGTGTAGTTTGTTAGCAAGCAGTTCAGCAGAATTTAAGTTACCCATTGCACATCTTTGTGACCTGTAATCACATCTCGAGAATGTGGTGTGACACATCTTTAATTATCTGCTTCCCACTTCAGTCTTGGCAATATTAAAGGAGCTGTGCACTGACCCCTGTTGGCAGATTGCCCAAAATAGGTTTCTCACTCTCTGTCTCAAAATCCTTCTGGCAAAAGGAAAGTTATCTGGCAGATAATTTTTATTAATGCAGAAATGGAATAGTTTTAACAGACAGAAAGGGGACTGTCCTGTGTTTGGAACACTCTCCTGGAGAATGGAAGATTGAATTCAGTCCCCTACAGAGTACAAAGGATTTAAGTTGACTGGTGAGTAAACCTGACCCTGGGATGGGGGCAGATCCCCACCAGGAAAGAAAGTTCAGAGCAGTGAAACACACTGGGTGAGAGAAAGCAACTTACTCTTTCTGCAGGATGTAGGTTCAGCCTTTTTAGTTCAAATGGCTTTTCCCTGCTGGCAGGTTTAGGCAGATCCTTGCTGAGTTTTGTAAACCTCAATTGCAAGTGTCTTGCTTTTTCCATTGTTTGGTATCCAACCCACTGGTCCTTCCAATGCCTACAGCCTGCAGCACTGAAGTCCTTTTGTGGATCTAGCCCCAGGTCAGGGATACTAGGCTAGGATTTTTCTTGCATAACAGAATAGGTTAAGACTGCCCTCCTTCCCTCGAGGTAACTTCTACCCGTTGTTGGGCAAAATAAAATTCCTCTACTGCTTCTGAATAAAAGTGGATTAATTTCCCCAGAAGTGAACTGCACTGACTAAAATGGAGCAGAGATCACACTGCCTGGGGACTCTGAAACTCGAGTCTGTGTTTAACAAGCAGGATTCCACAGCAGCTATGTTGTATCTTACTTCGATTCAGTCATGTTGATTCCACAATTCATTCTGTTATTTTGATTTGACACTCAGCATAATTACCTGTTTTACTACAGCCGCCTTTCCTCCTTCCCTTGTTGTGGATGTAAGTGCTTCATTCAAGCATTGCAGACTAAAAATAAATTATTAAGTTACAACGGAGAGCTAGTGGAAAGATGGGTATCAAAATGAGCAGAAAGCAGCAGCAGGAGGACTTACCTTGCCAGCTCAAGGCGATCACAAAGCTTTTCCACCTCCTCCATCATTTTAACACAATCTGCCTCATTATCAGAAAAGTAATTCCAGTTCTGGAAGCAGAAATACATGTTCTACAAAGTTCTTGAACTTTATTGTCCTGTTCCTTCAGCCAAAGGCTTAACACACAGCATCCTTCAGCCACTGCTGTGTTTGGACCTATTTGGTCAGCTTTACTCATAACTCAAAAGCATTTAAGTATGTGTTTTAGTGCTTTGGTTTTTAGTAAACCCACTTTCCATACCCATCTCCAGCCCTAAGGACAGGCAAACACGTGATACAGTCTAATCTAAACACACACAGTAATTTCACTGACGTAACTTGTATTTCATCATAATTATATTTAATACCTTGCACGTTGTTCTCAGTTTTTGCCTTTCTTTCTTGATTGCTTTCTTCTGTATCTCTTTTTCCTTTTTTGCTAGTAATGCTTGCTGCCTAACTTCTTCTTCCTCCTTTTCTTTTGCTAACCGTGCTGCTTCTAATTCTGCTTGTCTTTGCTGCAATCAAAAGGGAAAAAAAACCCAAACAAGTAAAAAACCCTCAACAAATCACACTGTTACAAGGTCATTCAGTCATCTAATATTAAAATGTTTTGGTTTTGGTGTGGATACAGTTTTGTTTGTTTGTTTTGGTGGGGTTTGTTTTAAAATGCATCAATACTTTAATGTTTGGTTTTCCAAGAATTTTGAAGGAAGGTGATGAAACATATAGCAGTTGGCATTGAGTAATTAATTAGTTGAGGCATTAATTAAGTACCCTAAGTATGCACTGTGAGGACCCCCAGATTATAAATCCTCACTTCATCTGCAATGAAGATGTAGAACTGCGTGAAATTTCCTATGGCTGCCTCAGGAATATAAGCTTGGAAAAATGCAGTGGTCCGGCTTTTCTCTGCATCACTATTAATATAGTATTTTGCAGTGTTCCAGCACTGTCTTTCAAGTTACTTTTTAGCATCTTACAGCTCCCTTTCATTCCTATACTTTCAAAGCCACCTTTTCCAAACTGTTAATATTAATCAGATATGTTGCATTACCTCAAAGTGTTTCATACCAACTGACCACTCCCATTCCACACACACAAGGCAAACAGCCATGTCCATTTTATGAAAATGCAAAGTAGAGCACAGAACTTAACACCTGCCTCGAAACCAGAGGAAGTGTATGCAACGACAGAATTCAGTTTTAGAAGATCTTTTGTTTCAGATCTGCATTCCTTGTTTCCATCTCATTCTCAAAAGGCTGTCAGTCTTGCCCTGCCTGCTGCACAGGCAAAGACAATTCATCGTTAAACCCACTGTGTTTCTAACAGTAGCTCCTAACACAACTAGAAGCTGAAGCAGTGGATCAGGTATGAACGAACCAGGGTTTTTCAATCTAAATAAAGTTGTTAACTTACTTTTTCTTTTGCCTCCTGTTCTTTTCGTTTTGCTTCTACTTTTGCTTTCTTCTCTGCTTCCTTCTTTGCCTTTTCTTCCTCCTTAAATTTCTTTATCCTGGGATCACAGCTGTATGCATTGTCTGGTGGAAGAAAGGAAGCAACATGTACAGAAGAAAAACAGGAGATTTCCACTATTAGCTAACAAATCTCTCTTTAAAAAACAGCAGTTTTTGTGCTCACCAACAAGAGTCCTAATTCTGTTCATTTCTTCTTTTTTCCTCAATGCTCTCGCAGCTCTGTTCTGCTTCTCAATCCACCTCCTTTCATCTCGACTAGAAGGGAAAACACAGTTCAGTGCTAATGCCCTACAATGTCACTGTTAGAAATTCATCAACAAACTTTTTAGAGTTTCCCCCACACAGATGCTCTTCTGTGAAAACTTCAAAAATAGACTTCGATAAATGAAGCTCCAGGCCCCAAGCTCATGTAAAAAAATGCTAAGTGTTTACACAGTTACATAAACCTGACAAACCAAGCTGCTTATCTGTCATCGAAGGGAATGATATCATGGGCTTTATTTCCAAAATGCAATCCACTTGCTTACCTAACATTAAACCTCAGCAAAACAACAGAAATGCTGGTATAATGTTTAATTAAAGGGCAGCAAAATAAGCAATGCCAATTATCTCATTTTAGAGAATACGGGTCACGTCAAGTAAACCCATCTGCACAGAAAGAACACTTTCCACGAAGCACCGTGACACTGTGGTAAAGTCATGCCAGATTCACTCCAGCAGAACACAGCTCAGGTTAAATAGATGAGAAACTGGCTGACTAAATAATCTTAAAATTCTTGTAAGTGCTGCCAAGAAAGAGGCAAGTTTTTAGTGGGGGTCTGTAGTCTTATCCACACAAGCTATATGGAGAAAAATATAGGGGGCAGGGTGGCTGGACCAGATGGTCTTTAAAGTCCCTTCCAACCCAAACCATTCTGTGATTCCATACCTCAGAACAAAGAAAACAATCCCCATAACAGAGTAGGAGACTACTATGAGTAGATTGAAGCTTTAAAACATGAACAACATCACCTGTGTCAAGAAGGGGTAACAAGAATCATGGCCATCTGAACAGCTGCTGAAATGAAGTTCTCTCTCAAGTACAGTAGACTAGGTACCACTTGTCTTTAAAAAAGGACACTAATGACAGGAATGACCAGAAGAAAAAAGAGCTATGCAAATAATTCAAGACCCTTCCAATGAGAAGGCTAGAGATTCATCTGTGTGATTTATCACAATACAAGTGATGTGGAATTGCTTACAGTGCCTCACAGAAGAGAGAACAGTGGGTCCAGTGAGGCTCAAAAAATTTAACAGCAGGAAGAGGCACTAGAGAAATGAATGCCTATCTACAGCTAAATATGTCAGTAATGAGCACAAAGCAAGCCAGCCACTGAATCTAAATACAAAATTGATTTATATCCAAACCTGAAATAAGAGGTTCATACAATGCAAGTTAAGGTTATACAAAGATAACTAAGTGAAAGGTTACATCCTGTGAAATGTGTGTTAGACTAAATGATTTGGTGCTCCAACTTGAACACTCTGTGTTTAGAACTGTAGGAAGGATAAAAATAGAATGTTATTTTCTGAGTCTGAGTAATTCAGCAACTATCACTACATCACCAAATACATGATTTTTATTAACATCAAGCCAACAGAACTCATCTCTCCAAATTCTATAAAGTATCATTTTCTCAGTACAAGTTAAAGATTAAGACAGAAATGATACCTGCTTACTTATCCACTCTGCTCTGGCTCCAGGTTCAACCTGTGCTTGGGACTGGCTGGAACTGCAAGTCTGAACTTAACTGAACACACATTTCAAAGCACCTCAGACACACTTCTGTGAGGCAAGCAAGAACTACTTCAACTACACAAATAAGACACAGAAGCTCACAGTCACTCCAGTTCAAGTCCATGACTGACTCCTGAGCTAGGAGAGTGGAATTCAGACTTAGCTTGGCTACCTTTCTTCCTGTGACTTACAGTCTAAGAGAAAGTTGGAAAATCTTGCTGTATCATCTCTCAGTCTCCTGTCAAATTTCTTTTTACTTACATACCATTCTGCTTTCTCTTTTTCTTCTTCATCTAAATAGGAAAACTCTCTCCAGGAATCAAAATTATACCTAAAGTAAATTTAAGGAAAAAATAAAGTGAATGAAAAACCAGCAAATCTATTAGAAATCATCTACCTTTTAGACTATTATGTTTTGGTAGGCAACTATATTGCTATTTATAATTTATAATACATCATTTACAATTATACTGCACCTACAGTGATTCCACTGTGTTTACTCAAAGCACAAGATGTTCCTGAAAGTAATGATTTACACCTATCTGTACTGTGGGACAGAGTCAGGATGGGATCAGTCTTGCCAACTCTAAATGTCTACAGTGCAGTTGTCTAAGCTCCCATCACAGGCAGTGGAGATGCAGTGCAGTCTGTAGAGTTCAGAGAGAAATTAATGTAATCTTCATGTAAGCACCCATACTTAGCAGGGAAGTCAAACCATAAACACTGACTTTATTGGACTAGACACATCTCCCTTAAACACCTTAGACATCTTCACTAAAAAACACAAGTTAGGTGAGATGAACTTCTAGTCTGTGGGTCAGCTCAGTTCACAGCCATTGTGCTCAGACGCTCCCGCTGCAACCACGAATTTAGTGTGGATGGATTAGCCAGGAGAAAGCCAGCTCATTTCGTGGGAGGCACAAACGGCTGTGGGGTAATTCCATGACATTACTGGGTCAGAACAGCCCACAGCCAACAATCCACCCAGCAAAGGGTCTGCAAGCCCTTCATATCACATGTCTTGAACACTGTGAACAGAAACAGAGACATCAGCTAACTTACCAAAAGGAATAGAAGGCATCTACCTCTTCAAATGAGGAGTTCATGTCCCCAAGTTTAGGTACATTTTTCTTATTTGACCACCTGAAAAATAAATGGATATTTTCAAGAAACAATATGGATAACCTTACTTCTTAACATGGCATTTGTTAAATTCAGAATCAAAATACCAAATCGGAGGCTCCCTTCCACCAACACAGAAGAGCACCAGGAAAGAGGAAGAGAACAGGACAGTTCCTCCTAAGCATCCTCCAGACTGGGCATTTTTTGGGGAGTTCCCCTAGAAAAGCAACCTCCTCCTGCCTTGTGCCTACAAGGAGACCTGATGGAGCACAAGCTATCTTTGTGGATATTCAATTCTCCACACACATTCTTCTGGAAAAGCAGCTTACAGAAAGTGGACAAAAGATGTTCTGTGAGTAACTCAGCTCTGTGGTAGGCTACAGGAAACCTCCCACACGTTCTAATGGAGCACAGGGGAATAATGCATACTCCGCCTCCACTGCATTTTTTCCTAGGGAAATCTTCCATAGGCTCTAGAATTTGTTGTTCCATGACAAAGCATCTATTTCCAAGCAGAGAAGGGAAAAGCCCATGTGACAACCAGAGATCCAGGTCTGAATCTCTGGAATACTTGATAAAACAGTCAATAAGACTACTTTAAACAACTATTGTTCAAAACATTGCAAAGCGCCTCACGCAATGGGGCACTTCTTCATGTAGGGAAAAGGTGAAACAGGCTTCTGTTGTGACACCCTTAATACAAAGTTAATTGCCAAGCATGAATCAAATGCAGAAAAACAGAACCACCAAATACTGATAGTTACATTTATCTTCTCTTTTAACCAGCTAAATTGTGAAAATAACTACTGTCTTCTTTAATGTCTCATCCTCATAAGAAAATCATAAAAAAGTAATTTTTAGTCAGCAGTATACAAGCACTTAGTATTGAAAGTAATTTTAAGATGAAACAATGTGTTGTACAAAAAGGACAGCAGGGAGCTGAGAACAGATCTTTTTTTTTTAAATCTCATGGGTCAAACTCAATGTCACAGTTCAGATTATTTTAAAATGAAATAACAGAGAACTGCACTATTTTACTTGTATTACATTTCTAGCAAATTACTCTATCTCTTGTTACAAACACAAAATCAGAAGTTTGCAAATGCTGATTCTCCAGCAAAAGCAGAGGCAGTCTGACATGGCTTACCTGGCATTTCTTTCAAAAACTGGTGAGAAAACTTCAAAGAAGTTTTCTTTTGCTTCACTTTTGGAAGGTACAGAGTTGTCAAAAGTAGGATCTATGCTGTTAAATGCTCGTCGTTTCACAGGATCAGATAATACTTCATAAGCTGAAAAAAAGTTACCAGACATAAGGTTCTAAATGTTTAAAAAGATGCTGTCAGATCTGCCTTTGATCTATCGTTCTGTACAGCTTGATACTTAATTATTTCAGTGTCACCAAATAGCATTGTTTTCTACTCCTGTTAAACTAAGTAGGAGGAAAACGTTTGTGAAAAAGAACACATTTAACTACTGAGATGTAACAAAACATGTAATATTTAAAATACTTTTATAGCAGTAAATTTGGTTCAGGCCCTGGGAGTTTGGGCCTGACATCCTCAGGCTTTTATACAGCATCAGATCCTTGCGGCAGACAAACTGACAAAATGGGTCTATTAAAGCACAGAGTAAAAGCAGTTCCTGAGTTAATATGATGTCAGAACTGGCAAGAAAACGAGCCATTCATTAGAATTTTTGCAGCTCATTATGAAGTTGTACTGAGACCTGGAAAGAATATAAATCACCACACAGCTACTGGATGAAACATGCACACACTCCCAGTTTTCCTGTTCTTACAGGCCCAAAGTTGGAGAGCATCACGTTATTAATCTGGTATCCTGTAAATCACACACACTAGAGCTTCAGCAAACTCTTACTTTTTCACAAGGTAGTGTGGAGTTACTGTGTCTGTCAGTTCTACAACGACCACTATTTTTCGCTAAGAGCGAAAAGTCAAAGGACTCAAATTCATAATGTGATCATTCATGGGCTTCTGTGCCTGCATCCCTGGACAGAGAACACTGCACCATGAAGTTGGATC